TTTTTTTGATCAGCCCTACTGGGCATAGTACCACAGACAAGGAGATACACGAGGGAGATTTGGTCAGAAAGTATTAGAGTTTCTTTTTTTTTTTGAGGCACAGAACTACTCAGGTAAAATTATTTTTGATAGGTTAAGAGTATACGTTGGCAATTAAAATCATTCCTTCCGTCTATAGTACCTTTGTGATACAGTTTCATGCCATTTTTGTGAGCTACGGAACTTGCCACTCTCATCTTTTATGTTTGTATATGTGTGTGATCTGCATTAGATATTTAGCTTCTAAACCCTTCCACATTTAATTTATTTTCATGCTAGGGAAGCATGAAAATAGATTTCCCCTTCTGGCTGTCTGTAAAATAGCTTTTTTTGTTTACCACTGAGTGACCAAAAGAATGTCCTATTCTCATTATTGCTATTCAGAGGATTCTGTTCCAGCTCAAGAACCAGAATACAATTGATAATTGCAGTTAAAGATGAAAAGCTGAACACTACCCGATTACACCTGCACCATCTGTTTTTGTAATGAAAATGAACAGACATAAAGGAAAGCAGACTCTGGCTTGAAAAGCATCATATTACCAAAACCAGCCACCAAGGAGGAGAGGCCTCAACTTGACATACTTATCCTGGCCAGAGCTTCTGCTGGTACCGAAGAAGCAGGAGAGCAAAGCCACCAGCACCAGCTACATCAGCGCGTCGGGAAGGTGAACATCTCTTACAGAGTCCTGGGAGACAAAGCATTTGTCTCCCAAGAGGTCATTTATTCCTCCGATTGGCGTAACACACCTGCGACGCGTGCCTGTTCACTGGCCGCATACGTACTTCTTAAATTAGGGGGACAGCGAGGATTTGAGGCTCCCCAGAATCTGCTCGAGATTTATGGTCTAACCAAATGCTCCTGCCTGCAGATGACTTCATTAGACAGCTCTCAGGAGCTGGTGCTGAACAGAGGTAAACAGCAATCAAAGTTATTCCACTCACATACTTCAGCTACTACCATCTTAAAGCACTTGCAGAAGCTGGCTTGAGAAAATATTTCCCTCGCACATTAAGATACAAAACTGAGCAGCACACCCTCCTGGAGAAGGGACACCTTTCCTTGCTGAGCCACCGCACACCTCGCTGTCTTCAAGATCTCGTCTCTCCTTTGACATGACATAATAAACATTTTGCCCTGGAAGTGGGGTTAAGACTTTGACTTTTAAAGTGTCCCTGAAATCTGATTTTATAAAGCTCATAAATGAAAACTTGTGCTTTCAGCTGTTTCAGCCCATCATTCAGTCACTTCCCGGGGTCAGCAACAGGGTGACCAGCAGGACTGCGGTGAACCTGGCAAAGGTCCAACCGGTCCTGGCGCGAGGCGGGGCGGCGCGGGGCAGCGCGGCTCCCGGCGGGGAGCGGGAGCAGCCGCCTCCCTCCCGCCAGGTGCTGCGGCGCGGCGTGGGAAAGCGCGAGCGCACATTCCTCGGTAGCAATCAGCACAGGAAGGCTCCTGCCTTCGCGCTCAGACTTTTCAGCAGCACTCAGCAAGGTAAATAAACCTTACGGTCAGGGCGCTTCAGACTCTTCTGCTCTTGAGCAAGTAGGAGAAGGGTGGAAATGTTTGTTTACAACAGGAAGACACATTTATTCCTGCTCCGCTTGCCTTGGCGTGAGCACCTGCCACTTGCAAAAGCTGTTCTCCTTTGTTTTTCTTTTGCATTAAGGGCTTAGCGAGCTGGCTGAAATGATCTGCCTGACATAAAAATCTGAACAAAATGAAGTGATTTCACCTAATACCACAGCATTGCCCTAGGGAACATTATCTGGAAGCACTTGGAGCACGTTCATGCTCATCCACGTATGCGTGAAGTTCCTCTCAGGCTATTTTACAACATGCGCTGTTGTGTCAGTAATTTCTCCAAGTGTAACATTTTCAAGTGCTGATGCACAGAATTTGCTTGTCTAAACCTCTTGATTGAACAAAAGGGCCACCTTAAAAACTTCAGTCCCAAGTGAGTCAAGAGTTTGCCTCCTCAACCAGCTCAGATTCTTTCAAGCTAACACAAAGCACATGTGAAGCCTTGAGTTCTGGGGAAACAAAACCCAACAGAAACCTAGACAGGAATATACCAGTCTTAGAGGGCAGCAAGAGAAAATGCCCGTACTTTGTCAGCAGTGGTGTTGCAGCCATGACTATCTAGTCATGCAGTAGCTAGCCAGGAAACAGCACAGGTGCTCTTGCTCCAAGAGCCCATAGACACAGCACTGCAGGCCTTAAGTGAAGCACCAAGCAACCCGTGACACTCCAGCATCTAGAACTGCTGGTAGTTGCAAGTGAGTTTTCCCAAAGAAAGGATTTCCACTGTTGACTCAGTGTAATACAGTCTCAAGACAAGACGGAGATATTCAAGGAGTAAAACGGAAGCCAAAAATTGGACTCCTCTTAGGAGTAGGATGGAAAAAGCTTGAAGGAGTCCAAGTGAAGAAAAGCACAGGCCCTACCTTCTGACTTTGACACATCCAACCTGGCTGCCTCCAACACATCCCATTAGGGATCCAAGCCACAATAAACCACCTTAGGGTAAGAGACGTTGAGCTCTGACAGCACTAGCACACTAAGTATCAGCAGAGGGTCACCTCACAGTCCTCAGCTTTCCAAAATCACTTCTAGAATAAAACAGTTTTCACCTTGTTTCTCAGTTATATAACTGTTTAGGATTTTGTCTGCTTTCAGACTTCAAAATCAAAGTGGATGTGTCCATCCACCTTCCACGTCCACGACTGAAAAGGAAAAGAATTTTCTTCTTCCTTCCTTCCTTCCCTGGGGGATAGCTGCTGATGCAAAAGGGCACTTAGCCTAGAGATTTTAAAAAGACCCTCAATAATATCAAGAAGCAAAGCAAAAGACCTGATTTCTTCCTCACCTCCTGGGGCTGCTGTGTGACCTGGGGCTAGGCACATAATTCCTCTGTGGTTTTCCTACCTCTAGACAACCTCTGAGGGAAGGACAACGCCAAGGCAGAGCACTGCCTGTGGGAGCACTTGCCTCCCCCGCTGCATCTTGGAAGGGTTTTATCCTCCAGTGCACCAACATCTCGCAGAGCTCGCACGCACGCTGCGCCGACTGCCTTTGCCGCCATCTGGAGAGCTGCTGCGGCCAAACCATAGGTGGCTTTAAACAAGCACATCCGGACATGGACAGCCAAAGCCGAACAGGGCCTGTGCCCACGAGTGGGCTTGCTGGCACTTCCCATGTGCACGGTTAGTTCAAAACTACCTGGGGTACGCTCGTTTGTGCTGCAGTCACGTCTTGGACTGTAATGAAGGCAGATCGTCTAAGAAACAGGAAAAACATCCACATGACCGTCTTCTGGAACTGGTCTTTCAACGCTTGGCTCAGTTCATGCATTCACCACTATTCACATCCAATACAAAGCACTTTCAAATGCAATGTACTGAGGTTTAAGCAGGAGACAAAATTCTAATTTTACTGTTTACTAGTCAAGTCCAATTCAAACATCAACGTGGAATTAAGGCATGAGGCCTCTAAGTGAGGAACAAACCTGCACTCCCCTGGACTGAAGGTGGAGGGACAGAGATGAAGTGACATTTTAAGGACTTGTCAGAGCAAATTCATTATTCTTCAAGTCTAAAATGATTGATAAAGCGGTGATTACGCTATGGTTCCTCTCATCTACTGTCATTACATTAGAATTCATCATTGCTCCTTGCAGGATTTTCTGTACAGATGTTTTAAAGATCACATTACATAGATTATATGCAAATTTTAGTGCTCCCCTTTTTCTTTTCTCTAGTGAAGACAGATCCTCCAGTTCATGCTTAATGACTCAGCAAGTCCCAGAAAAAAAAAAATCAACATACTTCACAAAGGAACTGTAAACACTGGAGGAAAGAGCAAAAGGAGTAGCAGCCAAGACAATGAAGATTTCCTATGGGCAGTTCTGGTTTCTGACCGAAAGCACCAAAATGCTCAAATTAAATTCCTCCATGCTAGAAATGGGCTAAAACAAATGAAATTCCACCATTTTCATTTATTTCACATTTCATGTCAATTCAGATTTAAACCCTTTCATGATTTTCGTGAAGTTGGCAACTCAGCACGGAGTTTCAGCACAGCTGATGTTTCATATGGCTTCTTTTCTGATCATTTAATTTCAGAACTTCAAGTTTTATTTTTAGGAAAAAAAAAAATTGACCTGCATGGTTGTACAGCAAAACATGAAAACATGTTACAAAGCTCAAAGCATGAGGCACTGTCCTTGAAGCCTTGAGGGGGTTCAATTCCTTATTTTTATAGTCAGTTATTATTTTGACAACAGTAAAACAGTTATTCTAAACTTACTAAATCTCAGCTCAGGAACCTTGGAGGGAAAAACAGCTGCTTTCAGCTCCGCTGTTCCGAACCTCACCTCAGTAACCTTTAGCTATTTAATGATGTTGAAATTTTGGGGGTTAAAACAGGCAGATATATTTTGGCTGTTATTACTTATGCCTCAGCAGTAACAAAATCAAATGTTTTTCTACCATAATATTAGCTTGCTTTTGAACTTTAATGGAGATAACATGCAGCATCTCCACCAGGAAGCAGTTTGCTCAGGACAGCATAGGGCAGAAGCGAAATACCGGCCTTGCTGCTCGCATGAAGTGAAAAAGCCCCTCTGCTTTGTTTCCACTAAGAATCTAGGAATTCCCACTCGCATAGCAATCCCAGGTAGGCAACAAAAAAAAAAAAAACCCTGTTTCTGCAGAAAGGCAAAGCTTGTATTGGTCATACAGGAAGTTTTGCTCGGGCGCACTGTTGCTAAATCCATTACCTCTACCAGGAATTAATTCCTTGATGAGCAACCCCAAGAATTCCCTCATCCCACAGCCCTAGCTGCCCGTACCTTGCAGTTGTTTGTTGTAGCTGCAAAAGAAAAAGAGCCGATCTACCACTGGGGTATAGGAGTCTGGCTTCTCACGGCACATCCAGCAGGGAGCTGGGCCGTACTCACCGTGCATCTGGTAGGTGTATGGGGCTTGTCCGGCTGTTGGCGTACCGAAGCTGGACCCATAGCTAAGGAACCCGCTCTGCCCTGGGGAATGGCTCAGGCTGTCTTCTGTTTTGATGCCTTCGGAGGATACCGTAGGAAGAAAGAGCAGAACATGAGGGTTTGACACACAAAGATGTAACAAAACAAGTTTAGGAATTCACAATATTTCAGCTAGATTTTAGCCTAATAGGTGACCTTTCTTTCTACAATTTCTAAATTAAAAAAAAAAGTATCAGCATCACACAGCGAACTCTCTCAAATAATATAAAGCCAAATACATTAATCACAAATTATTTGAGTCAGCTACATCCTGTATCCACAGCCGAATGAATAACTTATACTAATGTGGGGAAACAACCATGAATAATATTGTTTTCAGAAACAATTTCTGGACAAATAACTTTGTTTTTATATTAATTAAAACTCATTGACTCATGAACATTTTTCTGAACAGTTTTCAGATGCAAGCAATGATTAACAAGGCAACAGGAACTGCAGTGAACTAACCTCAAGACTTCTGTTCACATCAGAGCTATCATTTCAGTTCAATTATATTTTCAGCTCTTGTAGCAAAATATTTATGGGCAGGTCATACAGGAGGGTTATCACCTATTCAGTCAGATGTAATATGCAGCTCAGGAACAATAGGTAAATCCCGAGGCCACAGAATCTTTTTGTTACAAAAATCAGGCAATTAAAACTCCCGACAACTTACAGGGGGAGAGGCACTAGCTGAATTAAACACTGCAAGATGAAACCTTTGCTGCTAGTGAAAGGAGGTTGATATTTTATCTCGAGACGCTGCTGAGATCCTACAGCTGTATTTTTAAAACAAACAGCTGAAAGGTGCGTCTTATTATGAACCCTTGGGGTGTGATCTTCTGCAGCTTGCCATCCGTATTTGCACAAAACAAGAAACGGCCAGGGCACAAACCCCGCGCGCTGGGGCTGAACAAAGACCCTGTCGACGCTCCGCTCCTGGATGTATACGCTTCCCAGGCTGTTGCCATCTTTTAGCACTTTTAGGCAAACTTGCCAAAAGACCAGCCTAATCCATGTGCCTTCCACCAGTCGTGCCGTTTTCTAGCTTACTGAGTCTTAAAAGCGACAAGTCTGCATTTGCTCAGGTTGGGAATAAGTTCTCCCAAATAATTTTTTCTCTACTAAAATCACTTATTTTGCCTTCAGGGAGGATTAGCTGCAACGCAGTTGAAGTCCAGGTTAGCACCGAGAGGGGCAGGAACGTCACCGGGCAGCGAGCGACCAGGTGCTCCTGCACGCCGCAGGGGAAGGAAGCCCGGCTGCTCGGGGGTTTGCGGGAGCACGCGGAAAAACCGCTTTCCGTAACATCCCCTGCTTTTCACTGACATCAGCACGCCGCATGCAAGCCCTCAACCTACCCCGGCTACAATAAATCTTCAGTGACCGAGCCTTTTTGGAAGCCTAAAAATTGTTGTCAGACAGTGAAATAACTTAGCACCAAATTAATTTCCACATAAGGTTCTGTTTTGTCTAGAAACTGGCCTACTTTTATTTTTGTGCTGACAAACAATACTGCTTCATTGTTCTTGGTTGTCAGCCAGGTGGAGTCTTTCATGGGTGTTGTGTGTCTCACGGAGGGTATATGGGCTGGGAGAGGGAAACGCTGCTCAAGGATGCTGAGAGGTCACCCGCAGGATTTATAAGCGGCATATGGGCCCGACACGTGTGCCCTAAAGACTCCCGGCAGTAGCAAATGGCTGTATTTTCACCTGCTCTAGCAGGACAACTGCTCGGAGTTTGCCTTGGAAATCAGCCAGCTGATGCAAGAGCACAAGTAGCTCCAGAAAAGGAGAAAAGGGACTCGGCTTGTTGCCCAGCCCTCCTGGCAGCACTTGGCCTCTGCCAAGCCCACTCCCCCAGCCTGGAGGGGGTGGCAGGGAATTGCCCTTCGGTAACGACCTATTGACAGCTCTGGAAAAGCTTCTTGCTGGGAAGTGATATTGTATTTGCTGAGCAAACAAAGGTGTTTCAGAGTTTGAGAGAAATCAGGAACAGAGCTACCAAGCCACGTTAATGCTGCAGGGCTCGGCACGCACGGGATCAGCTCGGGGCAAGGAGCTACAGTTTGGCAGGAGGAGTCCCTTTCTGGTCTTCAAGAGTGAGAAGAACTTCCTGGCTCTCAGTGTTCCCACACAGAGCTTGAGGATGCTCTGAAGACTTTGCATTAAGACTTGCTCTGAAGACTTAGCATCAGATTAGCATTTCATGTGTCAGCAGTGCCAACTCCATCAGTCCCCCTGCCCAATTCCCCCAGCTGCTCCCACACCAACACCATCTCGCCACGGCTGCTGCCAAGGCTGCTCATGAAACCGGACAACGAAGCTCACTGGAGTTAAAAATGCTTACTGCACTTACAATCATCCACTTAAATATGGCTTGTCTTCCAAAACCAAGGTACTTTGTATCATCTCACGCATGCCCTACTCTCTTCTGTAGCTTGGTTTTTTTGGAATACTACACAATAAGTTTTTTGATGTAGCTTGTATCATTGAAACTCAAGAAGGAATCAATGAAAGCAAAGTAAGGCAAAGCGTGGTTTACCTAAATATTATATTTACTGCAAGAGACTGTCCTGTCAGTGGGTCACGGGAACCCTCACTAGCTACCACTCTTCCATGGCACGTCTTTCTGAACTTGAGTTTCTCATGCTGTCCCTATCCTACTACTGATTGCCTTCAAATCTAGTTTGCAAAACCATAGCTCAAGACATCAAAAGCTGATGGATAGTTCAGAGAAATCCAAACATTGTTAACGAATTCAAGTTTCCCTCTAAGCCTAAGAAGAGATCATTGCCAAGATAGCAATGACCTTTCATTTTAAAGCATAAAGCTACAAACATATTCTAGGAGGAAGGGGAAGAAGGATAACACGTCGGACTACTCACTGTAGGAGGGTATCCCATAGGGTTGCCCTGGAGGAGGGTAGGCCGTGTAAGCAGCAGCTTGCTGGATTCCCGCGCTGTACTGAGTCTGTCCGTATGTTGCCATTGCTGGGAAGGGCGGGACTGTCACTATATGGGGATAATGTCTATTCAGAACAAGAAAACACAAGGTCTAAGGCAACAGTCACTGTATATTGTCTTCTAGAGCACAGGTAAGACACTTCTAGTGACATTTTCACAAAATAATACTCAAAGCGTGATGGGGAATATCTTGCAATTTACTAGGCAAGGGCAAAGGTTTGTTTCAGTATACGGCTCCTGATATGATCTATTAAGATTAAATTACCTAAATGCATGGGGACTTAAGGACTGTGCAAAATACGTGCAACACATTTTAAAAAAATCATAGTTTGATTTTCACTCTTCATTTTGTGTTTGCCACAACACAAACCAGCGTCATGGGAAGCCTCTGACATTTTAACGTATTCCACTACGGTCGCTCAAAAACAAACCTACGCTCAGAGTGGTACGGTTTGCATTCCTAGGGCTCTGAACGCATACCGCTTGGTACCTCCAACCTTCTTCCACCCCATATCTAACAAGATTAAGAAATGGCTACTTCCCTGGGTCCCAGACATGCAGGAGAACAGGTGGGTGGGCTTAAGGCATATGCTTTTTAAGGTGACAGCAGTCCCCGCAAAATGGCTGCTGAGCAAAACAAGGCTTTTAAATTACAGAACTTGGCAGGAGCACTCACTTTGTGGAGTACAGATGGAGAGGACACTGTGGTGCTGCTTTGCTGTTGCCTGGAAAGCAAAATTAAAGGGTCTTAGATTTGCATCATGTTCTGTTCTACAGCCAAGCTGATACCACCGTTTTTACAACTGCTGGTTTGCGAGATTTACGTAGTAATTAGGAAACACTGGTTTTCAGTGAATCTCCAAAGAGCTGAAGTAGATAAACACTCAAGGATATAAAAGCAAGTACTATGATTACTGAAGTGACTTAAGGTCACTGCACTTTTTGCCCTTTTCCTTTTTTTTGTACTATTCTAAACTGTGACTGAATCTAGTTATATGTTTATTAAAATACATCAAATCAAAAGAAATATAAAAAAAATACAGCTCTGTAACTCTCCTTACTCTTGAATTTTTGGAGTTAGTTATAATCTACCTTACTGACCTGGCAGTAATCAAAATATTGAACCAGTAGAAAATGAATCACGCAAACAAGTTAAGGTGCAGGATGCCTTCCAATACACCACACACTTGTACCCGGCAACACTAACAGAGAAAAACATGCCACCATTTTTATTTAGAAATGAATTTAGGTTTAATTTAATTAAAATCTGAATTAAACCTGCCAGTTGCCTGATGCAAGTTCTACTGAAAACATAGTGCCTAAATGCCACCATAAGTAGTATGCAGGTTGCCTCCACAATGCCATCCAAATGTTGTTTCGCAGGTCTTGGTTGGAGCCTTTAGATGTTTTTATAACAGCATAAATACCAAAACACCCTCAAAAACATCAGTAATGTTCTAGCCAGCTGTAATAATCAGCACACCAGATTAATTACATGTTGTTTCTCCATGCAGGGAGAATATCAGTACCATGACATCTGCTAACAGCCCCGCCACCCCATGCATCAGCTGGTGGCACCCCTCGCATGATTTGTTACGGGGAAGACAAAACACCATCCAGTCTTGGGCAGAGGAGATGATGCCTCAAGCCCAGGTGCAGAGTTGGGTGGAGCGGGAGGCTCAGTGGTGCCTTCCAAAGCCGGCAGGTCCCCCCAGCAGGCAGGAGCATCCGTAGGGCTAGACCCGGCGCATATCCCCAGCGCGGCAAGAGGATCATCCTCCATAGGAAGTCATCTATAACTGCACCGGTTTCTTTGTTCAGCAGTAAATTGGTGAATTAAACATTTGAAGCATGTTTTATGTAATGAAATATGCAAATACCTATACAATCTAAATATAAGGAAATAGTCCTATGGGTTTGAGTAACTTGGTATGCCAGAAAACCTGGAGAGATTTTCCAAAAAGATCCAGCACGCTCACATAGGAAAGGTTCATTCCTCCTGGTCTAGTTCTCTTTTAAAGTTTCTCTTTCCTCCACAACCTTTTTTCACAATAGTTTATGATGTGGCTTTATCATTTTACCTCAAAAAATGGGGGTTACACCAAACTATTTTTAAATATTTTTTAATCTGTTATGAATTTTTTTTACTAAATTTCATTTAAAATGCATTTTATCTTTCTTTGTTTGTTAATTGAAAAAGATACAATGGTCGTGTATGAGTTTTTAACTAAAAATATTTAATAAGAGATGTTATTCTCTTTTTAGAATGTTAACGGGTGTAACGTCTACTGTATGTAATGATACTACTGAAAAAGAGCTCCATTTTCAAGGAAACAATTACATCTGATTAAAAGACGGAAACCTTTGAAACAGAAAGGGAGTTTTTTCCCCCCAGACTCAGAAATGTTCACAGATAACCTCACTCAAAAGTAACAAAATTTAGAAAATATCCACATACTCCTTCCTCTGCTCTCCCAGATAGTTGCAATGCTTAATAATAACGGCGTGTTCGGTTAGACTAGATCAAAAACATGAAAATTAGAGGTGTCTGTGCTTGGGCGCTCAGGACTATTTTCTGCACTTGAAAGCAAGCAGCCCCTTTTGGTAGGGGCCAGTCACTCTCGGGCCTCTCGGGAGCACCGGTCTCCCAAGGTCCCTGCGTGGTGGTCGCCTGCGGCCGCGGTCTGCCCCTCGCACGCACCCACGGAGCTGCCTCCCGCTATTGCCGAGGGAAAAAGTCCCGCTGGGGTAGGTGCATTCGTGCTGCCTACCGAATACACTGCGGGCACCGAGAGCAACAAAGCCATAAGGCTCCTTCTCTACTTTTGGACAAGTCGCTGAGATTAAAGGAGGTTCCTAAAAAATAATTAAAAAAAAAAACATAAGAAAACAACCCCCCCACACACACACCCAACTAGGCACTTCCATCCCTGGAACACCTTTGGAAGCATCGCTGCCGCAGTTCCTCTACCTCTATCTAAAATGTGGTAACACTAACTATTCCCCCAGCAAGAGGCTGCAATGGTTTGTTTTTTCTAAAGATTTTAAAAAATACTGAAACAAGATAGAGTTACCTAAATGTACACATAGCTTTATATATACAGGTATAGGAATAGCAGGTACAGAAAAAAGGTTGCCTTTAAGCCAAAGGTGGCCTTACCTGACTCAGCATCAAACTGCCTGTGAAAAATTTGCTTTGACTTACCTGAAAGAAAATAGTTAAGAAAATAAGATTTTTAGATTGCGGAAACAAAAACTATACCTTTTCTGTCAAGCTGTTGCTCATTACCAAGTACAGTTGCATTGGAGAAATTTTTTTTGGGTTTTCATTCATTATGCCTTTCAAATTTGAAAAACAGCAGGAGAACACAGAGTTTGAGCACAACCTGAATTTCTTTTATAGTTGAAAAATATTGCAGTTTCAAATTTTTTAATTTTAAAAGAGGTAAATACAGAGTAAATTCATTTAAGAAAGCCAAATAGGGATTTACTAGGTATGAATACGCGATGTGCTACTGTCATTGTCAAAAACAGGCAAGTTACAATTACAAGCCTTTCAACCCAAATGTATAAAACTGCTGGCAAAGTGTATATTTGAAAATCACTTCACATCTCATGACAAGCATCCACGAAATTGGCAGGCCAGACGTCTAAGCGGACATCTGCATACATAAGTATTACTGCTCAGTTTGATAAAGTGAAACCTCTATTTGCAACACAGAGCGTACGTTTGTGTGCATTTCTTGCACTGGAGGTCTGGGACTTCACCCAAATATTCTCCCGTTCTCCAAATTAAGGAATATTTTCAAAGGAAAGTGCATAACCATGGTAGTACAGGTACCATATTCTGCTGTATTAAAAAACAGCCACAATATGTCTCTAAGAAATCTATCAGCACGAGTTGCCACTAGCAGAGTGGTGTCCAATGGTACAATTGTTGTGCTGACTCTTATTTATAGAGCATAACAACATATAGTTCCTGCTCCAAGGAGTTTACAAAACGATCCATTTAAAATTCATTTCTAGCTCTAATCTTTTCTGTAAATACATATTTTAAAGTACGTTTCCTTTAGATTCTTATCCTTCCTATGTTCCTGTAAACAGGTAGATATGACGTACGTGCCTTAATCACGCAATTTCTAATGCCTCAGCAAACATGCAAGCACAGCATCTCCATGGCTTCTAGGAGCCTGTAAAGGAAGGGTTAAACATACTCCTAAAACATAATAGCAGGGACCTTCTGCTCGCTCCCCTCCAACAGGAAGGCTGACAGATCCCGACCGCAGCAAACAATAGCTGGGATTGTGCTAGCAAGAACTAGTTCAGCTGCATCACTTGCCAATAATTTTTTTAACAGATTTAACATTCTTCTGTTTCCTTCACTGGAAGAGTACGATGAGGGGGCAAAGGAAGGAGGAGGAGAAGAGCAGATAAATTTCCATCAGAGCCTCCCTGAGCCTCCAAAAGAATTTGTCCCTGGTACCTGCCAAATGCAAAACTCCAGAGCACGGAGCAGAGGGCTGTCTGGGGAGGACAGCGAGGACCTGGGAGCAACGGGGACTGGGGCACAGCGGCTGCCCTGGCCGAGCGCTTCCTCCCTGGCACTTGCTGCCGCCGTCCCCGAGCCGCGGACACCGCAATGCCAACCTTACATCCCCGCCACCCTTGGGGCTGCTGCCCTAGCGGCATCCACACCAAAACTGCCAGCTCTACACAAAATATGTTTTATATGCGCAACTATTCCAGGGCAACATACATGTTTGTGTGCGGGTATGTACACACCTACCACACATATATATATAACATTTCAGTTCTGTTATTCACAGCTTTGCTGAACTAATAGATTCAGATGCAACTGGAACAGGTACAAAAAACACTCAAATAAAAATCTAGGTGGCTCACTACATTGGAGGACTGATCATCACCAGCGGAGGCCTCACATGCGGCCAGCTCCCTTTGGTTAGATATGTATGTACATATATACGTTACGCTCAAGCTAATAAGCAGTAAGCAGAAGAGGCGGCCTACCTTCTATGTCATCTGGAGCCGCGGCATAAATGTTAGAAAGGCTGAGCTTCAGTCTGTCGGAGCACTCTCTGTTTACAGTCAGGCTGGGTGATATCACTAGATCTAGCATTTCCTTATACCTGAAGGAAAACAAAGGGAAAAATATAATTTATTCATTAAATTATGCATGCTTACTAATGATTCCACTTTTTTTCCCTAAGAGTATAAATATTAAAGCTGATTACCTAAACCCAGGCTTCATATAAATTCCACATAATAACGTTCACTAAAGTTTTCATCAAAGGGAAACGTGAAATTAAAATGAAGTTACTTGTTCCCTTGGAGATTACACCCAACTGATTAAGGCTTTCCTTTTCTTCCTGGATTTTGCCATCAGAAAATTAAATTTCTTTATCTCTTAAATGCCATCAAAGCAAGGATGTGCACAAGAGTGTGCAGCAAGGCTCCAGAACAGAGTATTACGGACTGAAAATGAAGTTGAGGACACTTAACAGCATTATCTGTCTTACAAGATAAGAAAGATCGTACAAGTGCGAGGAGAGGTTTAGGTGTCCAGGCTACTCCCAATAACTGCTGAATATCCCTCGGAAAACTGATCCCAACCACAATATCCTGACCGTTAGGTGGCAGTGATACAAGGACAGTCTTTTTCATATAAATAACCTCATGTGATTTAGCTGAAAATCTCAGATGAACGATCTATGTCATACAGGACTCGCGTTTCCAGCAACAAAAAAAATCCACACTTTTTTTGAATGTGCACCCACGACTTGCACAATAAGGAAAGCACACAAACGATACACCACACCATCAGAAAAGGAGGATTGTGTCATTATTTCAGACCCTACAGACAGAACGAATACCACAATTGTCAATATACGTGTTCAAGTCCACCGGTACACCTTTTCGGAAGTGGGATCCAAAGACACCTGCTTCAAAGAGTCGCTTGAAGCATTAGATGTTCTGGATGCAAACCAAAACATGGCATTAAGTGCATAGATTTGCATACCTATGCTTGAAGTTTGGAAGGAAACCTTGTGTTATATTAAATACGCACCACAGACAGGCATAATGATGTTTTTATGCAAGGCAGGATTCCTGGACAACTTCACCCCCAGAATGTTCTGCCCTTGTTCACTACGCAGTCAGTGGCTACAACTTGAATCATGAGGAACCCACCGGCTAAAGACAATCTGCAGCTAAGCTTGCCTGTTTTTTTTTTGTTTTGTTTTTTTTAAAAACACTCACAATGCCATGGGAACCTGCACAAACTTTCAAAGGCTGCACCAATGTATTTTGCAGCTTTTGCTTCAGGTCCAGAAGAAACCACGAAAAGAAAAGGATTCAAAGATGCTACTTTTTCTCCTTGGCTTTCTGCAGCCACATCAAGCGTGTCCTCACCTCGTCCCCTGGAGCTAGTCCCCCCCACGCTAGGGAAGAGCACGCCTGTGCTTTGGGATAGCGACAGAGCTGGAGCGCAGGGTCAAGCGGGAGCAGGGACTGACTTCCAAAAGCCCCCGTGGGCTTGCCTTTCCACCCACCACCAAACACGTCCTGCAGCGAACGCGGCTGGGACACCCCCCCTGCCCTCAACCAGGGATGGATCTACCCGTTCTGGACTGGCCGGGCAGCAGAAGGCACGACAGCCGCAGGCAGGCTGGTAGTAATACGTGTAGCACAGCACACCAAAACATCACAGAGTAAAAGACAACAACACACAAATCTGAAACGTCGACAGTGGGTTTCTGCAATACTAATCTAGGCACTTCTGTGAGAAGCGAGGAGGTTCATTTTGATTTTCTGTTTAAATATGAGGATATGACTTCACCAGCTTGGAGAAACAGAGAACAATAAACCACATACTTTTTACCTGAACCTCTCCAGTCCCTTTTTCAAAGACTGCAAGTCCTGGCGAGGGAGGGTAAGTATTGTTACGAGCAGGCACAACAGCTAACAGCTGGGAAGGCACCATGCCCTGGCAGAGAGACCACCCATCCTCTGGGAATTTGCAGAACTGCCAAAAAGGGTGAGGAAGTGGCATAACCCCATACAGTGTCCACAGTCCCGGTCCTCCTCCTTTCTCCAAGTGGGATCTGGGCTCCCCTTAGAAATCCACGTGCACACATAAATTGTTGCCACCCACACGGACTCAAGTCCTGAGATGAGCGAACGCTGTCTGATTAGGTGCAACGATGCAGATCCAAAATCAGCAGAGACTAACCAACATGGTAGAAATACAGCATGCAGGATGCAGCGCACATGAGATCCATGCCCCCTAACTGCTGCACCTTGAGGATTCGTTAAGGAAATAAAACTAGCATAGAAGTGCTGCTTTGCAGCTCCCCTGTTGCTGGAAGATCTCAAAGCCCTTTAACTTCTGCTGTGTCCCTGTAAGACCAGCGCAACTCCTGCCTCCCCCTCCCTGCCTTAGACTCAGACACTGATGCACAGCAAGACACAGGCGAAACAGAAGATGCACAGGGGCCACCACTGTGCCCACAATCACTGCTCACGCTACCAATGGCGTGCAAATGCAATGAGGTGTCCAACTGGTATGTGAGCTAAAAACCCTAGTCCCTGGCTTCAAAAATTCCTAAGTGACTCAATCTAACGGCAGAGCCCAAAGAAGAACCTAGAACCCCTGACTCTCGCCCTAAACCGAACATAACCCACGGGAAGCTTTACTCGGGAAATCCAATGATGGACACAGCAGTGCTGTCATTCCTAATGGAGCCAAGTACGTTTTTACACATTACCTGTGCGACTCTACCCATCCGCGTGGCTACCTGCATGATGCCGTGTTCTGTTCAATTATATTTACTCACAGGAGCTCAAAAACAAACGCAATCCAGGGTCCCTGCGGCGGAAAGGAAGATCGGCAAGGGTGTAAAAGCGTGCTGCCCCCTCCAGAAGGGGACCGCCATCAGCTGGTGCAAGCTAGAGCAGCTCCCAAAGACGGGAAAGACGCAGCAGGCTTGCAGGGGGCCCCTCCATCTGATGGCTCCTCCAGGGAACCTAGAGTGACTCAGAGACCAGCAGCGGCCCCAAAGGGCCATGAGGACGAGAGGGATTCCCAAGCCATGACGGGAACGTTTCAAAATCTTCGCAGCAGGCTGCTTCACAGCACAACGTGTGCATCTGCCTCAAAGTCAGCTCCAGGCATAGGGGAAGGCAGCAGATATTTGGAGCGCCATACTGATGGGCAGTAAGGGCAGCCATGGCCCTTCTGCATGCTTCACCAGCGCCAGAGGAAAGCCGTGTCTTCCCAGAACGGCTCATCCCCCTCTTGCCTACACGGCCAGGCTGCCACAGAGAAAGGGGCTGGAAAGGATTCAGTGGTGCCAGTTTCTTGGGGCCGGACATGGAGGAACAAGGTCTCCCCCAAGTGCAACACTGGCTGGTCCTGCTGCCCTGCCATGGGAAAGAGCAGCAGGCTGAGCCGGCTGAAGCTCTTTTCCTAGAGGAATTACTTTGTTCAAATCCATTGGCACCAAAATTAAATTTTACTTGGACTGTCGAGATGCCTAGCTTCAGTTTTTCTGAAAACCAGGTTTTCTTTTCCACTGTAAGCAATGTCCACCTTTTTTTTTTCCTCCTTATTTCCTTAATGCTATACCCGAATTGGAGAAAAGCAGGGCCATCCCAGATCTTGTCAGGCAGGGGATGGTTGACATTGTTTCTCAGATAACACATGCCCTTCAGCACAATCCAAAAGCCCATCACTCACGACACTGCCCAGACGGCTGCCAAGTGAAGGGGAGCAGATGTTTACAGGGAAATGATCTTTTATAATGATTAATGCACTCTAATTACATCATTGTTCAGGGATTTCTTTAGCTACTCTGACTGATGATTTTTCTATTGGCTTTGTTCTGTTCACTTTTGTATTCCCAAAGTCATGTCACACTTCCCTATAGTTGTCCTCTACCCTTTTCCTACCTTTTTTCAGCTTCCATTTTACTTTAGAGTATATATTAGTCGCATGTACAAACAGGTAGCTTGCCACAGAAATGCCTGTCTGCTTGTGCGTATCATGTATGTGATTGCACTAGTGGCTTTGCCTGGTTTGCACGCATCATTTACCAATTTGTTCATGCGCATTTCTTGCTTATGTACTTCTCCACTAGAGTCTCTGAAATTCTAGTTTTAACAATGGCCAGTCTAGGGAAAATCTCTAGTGACATAATGGAACCTGGATGGCATTTGATACAGTAAATGACATGCTGGAGCGCAATCAGTGAAAATATTAGGTCTTTGTTTGCTAGCTTTTTAGAGTAAAAACGTTTTCTGGCTTGATTAGTGTACAGTAAATCAGTAATACAGCTTGCTGAATATGAGCTTTTATTAAAACCAGCAATGGCAGCATCCAGCATGTTGGGCTGACAGACATCTGGAAGAACTTTTGGCTTCTATAATTAAGGAGAACCTTGTGTGAATTTGGTGCTCAGCTTTTCCATTAGAATCCCCTAGTCAAAAAACAATATTTTGCCCTAAAAGTTGGCCTATAAAATCTCTGCCAAGAACAGAAACTTTTTTCTTTATTTTAGAAAGGAAAAAAGAAAAAGAAAAGCCTTTTCAGTCATTCTGAAGTTAGGAATGCTAAATTAAACATTTTAAGGTTTCAAATTTTTGATTGAGGTTTTTGGGTAACCTACAAGTTACTTTTTTTTTTTTTACTACAGTGTTTTGAAGGCAGCAAATCCAGGCCCCAAATCAAAACACTCGGATGCGAGCTTAAGATCAAACCAGAGAGCAACCCCATCCCTCCTGGGAGAAGTGTTAAACATGGGAACAAATGCAATGCTGAAGCGGGACCTTCCGAGCGCTCTGGGTGCTAATGGTGGTGAGAACCAGAGAGCAATCTGATAGATAATATTTTGAAAGGATGAAGCAGGATGCCAGTCTAAGTGTTGTGGGCAGATGCCACCACACGGTCACCCTGTCCAGCCCAGCGGACAGCCAGAAGGCGCTTGGGGCTCTTCGTAAAGCTTAGGCCTCTCCTCCTCAGGCATAACTTAAAACACCTCTAAAGCCATCACCTCTGGACTATGGGCATTTCCATCCCTACTTTGAAGGCAACAGATTGGTCCTAGGAGTTCCTAAATTTTCCTGATCTCTC